CAATATCACATAGGTGGTAGGGAAGCTCCTTGCTAACCGTGCTAATGTTAGCTTCTAGCAATAGCTCTCGTCCATATATCGTCATTTCTGGGTTAAAAAATAAAGATGGTTCTGTCGAAATGCCAAACCCTTCAAAATAAAAGTCACAAACCAATGGGAGACCACCAATGACTACGTACACTTGATATATTTGTTACCATGCCAACAATACGCTGATGGGCCCAAGTTCCCATCAGCAAAAACACGTGGGTTTGCTATCCTGGCTCCAAAATGGTGGAATGAGCTCCCCATTTACATCAGGACAGCAGAAAGCTTACACACCTTCCGGCGCAGACTGAAAACTCATCTCTTTCGACTCCACTTCGAGCGATAGAACTATTAACAAAGCACTTATATACTAATAAAGGCCTGGCTTATCTATAGCCAGTTGAGTAGCACTTGAAATGTTTGGCTCTATGAAACCTGATGCACTTATATGATTCTGTTTTCTTCAAGGTTGTATCTTCCTGGTCGAATGTACTTATTGTAAGTCGCTTTGGATAAAAGCATCAGCTAAATGTAATGTAATGTAATGTTATACATAATGCAGGGATGCTTTGAACATGAGGAAGAATCCATAACCTTTAGATTATGTTTTTTTAATTAGTCATGCACTCCAGTGCTTGCAGGTAATTAATGAAGGACAACATTCATGTATGTCTGGGAATATAAACACACACACACGCGCACACACACACACACACACACACACACACACACACACACACACACACACACAGATATTCTGAAAGTAGATGGAGGAAACAGATGCTACCCGAGCGTAGCACAGTTTGATCTTCCTTTCCCACGCCCGAAATGTCAAACTGTTGCAAGTGTTCAGGACACGCGCACGCACGCACGCACGCACGCACACATGCACACACACACACACACACACGCACACACACACACACACACCACAAAACCAACCCACTAACTGTAAAAAATGGCCACTTGGTATATAACCCAATTACAAGGTTGTACATGGGTCCTTACAGAATTCAATAACAGGGACACACAAAGCAGAGCAGCTTTTAATTAACATGCAGGACATATTTGGTGCACACGGCATAATGACAGCAGGGCAACAAGGAAAAAGAAGAGGGGGAAACAGCAATATTAGCTAAATGAGAAGCGCTGGAGCAGAGGAGAACATGTTAAGATATATAGGACGAATGATTAGAGGATGATTGCTGAGACACAGGAAATATTTTATTCACACAATGCTAGACCGTGATGCTAGGGTAACGGTAATTGATGCGTAATTTGAAGCTTTTATGGAGGCTGTAATGGCTATACTACCCACATTTGTATTGTGTTATTAGTTATTTTCTTTTGATTTGTTGTAGCACCCTTGTGAAAGTCTACACAATGATTGAAAAACTTCATAAAAAATAGATCAAAAAGGTGACTGCAGTGCCAAGAAATAGTTGTTTTTCTCATTATAAAAACACTCAAAGATTGATTTATTAGAAACATAATAACTTGTCAAAAGGAGCCGGTTGAGGTGGTTCGGGCACCTAGTTAGGATGCCACCTGGGCCTCCCTAGGGAGGTGTTCCAGGCACGTCCAGCTGGGAAGAGACCAAGGGGTAGACCTAGGACCAGACGGAGGGATTATATCTCTTCGCTGGCCTGGGAGCGCCTTGGGACCCCCAGTCAGAGCTGGTTGATGTCGCCAGGGAAAAGAAAGTTTGGGGCTCTCTGCTGGAACTGCTACCCCCGAGACCCGACCACGGATAAGCGGGAGAAGATGGATGGATGGATGGATGGATAATAACTCCACCGGTAAAACACTAAACTTAATTTGCAGCAGCACTCATCTGGCAACCTGAGCCGTCATTGGGAACAGTAAAAAAAATTCAGGAACAAAATAGATCAGAAGATATTATAATATTAGCATTTAGCTGAAAGCAAGGCACGAATACCAACTGGAAAAATGGGGATTTCTGATTCTAATTTAATCTCATCCATTCTATCACAGTTAGCGTTCTTTTAGGTAGGATCCTGTTGTACGAACTAAAAACACTCTCCTTGTGTCACGTCTGGTCAGGGGCCGTTCTAGGGGGGGATCAGGGGGGGCCAGTGCCCCCCTAACACTGCCTTTGGACCCCTGATAATGAAAAAAATAAAAGGTTTATGATTAAACGATTTCTTGGCTGACGGAATAGGTGGAACTAACGATATTTGTAATTCTAGTGGGACCCATTAGAGAGAGCACACCTTTATCTATTTCATACAGTTGTAAAAAATAAAGTAAGAAATCATTCCAATGTGTACTATAAGACAGTAACAACAATTAAAAAACAGTTTAAAAGGGGAGTGATTAGTAAAATATGCATAAATAAAAAGAAAGAATGCTAACTAGGTAACATAAGAGAAGAATAAACAAGTTTACATGATTTGTTATTGGTTGTGAAAATATTCTAAAGATGTTTGGATTATTGAAAAGTATACAGCTCCCTTTCATCTGAGTGTTGAGAGCTGTATCCATACATTCCTTTTGTGCTCAAAGTGCTCCAGATTGATGCATTTCACTTCAACATTTAAAAAAAATCTTTCCGGGGGAGGATGTGAGGACCCCCCTAGAGGATGTGAGGCCCCCCTAGAGGATGTGAGGACCCCCCTAGAGGAGGTGAGGACCCCCCTAGAGGATGTGAGGCCCCCCTAGAGGAGGTGAGGACCCCCCTAGAGGATGTGAGGCCCCCCTAGAGGATGTGAGGACCCCCCTAGAGGATGTGAGGCCCCCCTAGAGGAGGTGAGGACCCCCCTAGAGGATGTGAGGCCCCCCTAGAGGATGTGAGGAACCCCCTAGAGGATGTGAGGCCCCCCTAGAGGAGGTGAGGACCCCCCTAGAGGATGTGAGGACCCCCCTAGAGGATGTGAGGCCCCCCTAGAGGAGGTGAGGTCCACTCCCAAATAAAACAGGTTAAAATAATTAAATTGCATACATACTGAAAACGGGTCCCACAGACCCAAACAGCACAAAGGTTAAAGGTCAGCATATCATAATGCTAAAATGTGCTAAATAAATACACTGCAAAAAACAAAAAAAGAGGAGTAAAAGTAGCTCACGACTTGTTTTATATTTTGAAAGTAGCTCTCATCCTAAAAAAGGTTGGAGACCCCTGCATTAGAGCGTAAAGACTGTAACTATAAGTATCTGAAAGAAATATGTGTAATGAAACAAATACCAATAACTGTATTGCATTGTTTTCTTATGCGCAATTACTTCATACTGTCTTGCCCTGCATTTATTGGGCCCCCCTCAGAAAATAACTGGCCCCAGCCTGGCCCCCCCAGTCAAATTGGTCTAGAACCGCCACTGCGTCTGGTTTCACTTCCCGTTTTGTATGTTTTCCCGCCTTGTGTGCTTCTTTCCCCTCCCCCCGGTTCTATTCCCTTTAATCAACATCTATAAAGATAACTGCATACAGTGTTGGAGGCGCAGTCAAATAAAATATTATGAAAGTTGCTCATGAAGCCAAAAATGGTCTGATCCTTGAGAACAAAAATACCGATCTTCCAGGGATCTGGGCCTCGAGAGCATGGATGTGCACTTGTGATGTTGCGAACGATCCGATTCTTTTGAACGGCTCTTTGGTACGAACGAATGGAACGGAGCCGTTGGTGAGAGTCGTTCTTTTTATCGTTGGTTCACTGCCTGCCATAAATCCACTCGCTTTTACGGGAACTTGCTTTCCTGAATGCCAATTTGCCGTAGATGATGGCATAACGCATGCTGCTTGAGTAGTAGTAGTTTGGCTGCCTGAGAGATGAAGCAAGTTATACATTTTTCTGTGAGTAAAAGTAGATTTCTGGCAATACAGTCAATCATTATCCTGGTGATTATTTCGCAGATAAACCTGGTAACCCCGCCCCCTTAAAAAAACGGATCTTTTGAACGGCTCTTTTGCACAGCTTTCAGAAGGGAACGGAGCCATAAGATCCGGCTCCCTTCAAAGAGCCGTAATTCCCATCACTAAACCCCGCCTCCAGTCTGCAGTTTCATGGATGTTTTCGGCTCAGTCAAATGCACCGAGTTTTTAGCACATTTTACAACTTTTAGCACCTCATGATTTAACTGAGCTATTGGAGTGTTTGTACTGGGAAGATGATTTACTTTTGGGTCCAAATGGCATCACATGACTTGCACTTAAGTTGTAGTACCACTCTTTGGCCACTACGAAGAATCAGCCTGAATCCAGCTGTTACCTTCATATCTAAACATGTAGATAGTAAGTGATTAATTTATCTTAGTCAAACTTAAGACATCTCTGCACACTTCTAACTGATCCACATAAACAAGCCAACGTAATTTAAACTATTCTTTTATAATCAACATCATCATGTAAAAACATTGTCTGTCCTCCCAGTCCATGTGTGAGTGGTTGATGTTGGCAGGCATGTAAGTTTCCCACGTCTCGAAGTTCTGCATTTCTCTGCAAGCAAATGCAACCTGAACACAGTGATAAGAAATACCAAGAACAAAGATATGTCATTTTCCATCCTCTCTAATAATGAACAGTTCTCTTCATCCTGTTCAGTTAAACTGCCTCATGGTTTCACAGGTCAATGCATTCCTGTTCCTTCACTCCACCTGCAGACTGTGTGACGTCCTCAGTGCTCATAGAGATCAACTGTTATTCTCTTCATTTAAATGCTCTTTTCTGGTGTTAGTGGAATATCGGCAGTTTAACCAAAAGTCTCTTTTAATGTGTATACTTTTTTATGGGTGTTACTGGCATTTGGCTCATCATGCATATTAATAATCTAAAGAGGAAGGAAATCTAGTCTATTAACAGCCTGATATCCGTCTTCTGCTCATTGACGACAGAGGAAAGTTATCTTTAAACACATCGTTCCTCCTTCACTGTGAGTAGAAACAGGTTATTGATGTAATGATTCTGTAAACCTCCTGTGAACATTATTTAATCTGACATGTTGTATAGTCTCACAGAGATGAGAGGAGCAGCTATGAGTTTCACTGCAGCAGCGAGTGGATTAGTTGGCTTCCTGCTCTCTGTGTCAGGTACTGTACATCTACACTTACATTCATCACATGAACAGAGGGGATTCTGGGAAATGTGGGACTTGTAAAATCAGGTCACATGTGGGAATAAGTCGATCGGGGTTGGATGATATTTGGAATATTTCCAGAAATATTCCAAATATATGTTTTGTGTAGCTTTGTTGAAACACTTACCAAGTTTTAATTGTAATGGTTTTCGTAAAAATATCTTTCCTGTGTTGATCAACGTCATTTGCTTTTATCTTTTGCATAAAGTAACTGTGTGCCCAGAACATTTACACGCTGTAAACTGAGGATAGTCTTCCCTCCTAACCCTGTGAAAACCTGTGCTTTGTTTTATTTCTAAGATGACCCTGGTTAAAAAAGTATTGTCGTTTTTTTATTAAGTGTTAGTGTTTGAGGGATATTTTTCTCACAAGTCATAACATACTGTCTCTCAACTTCTCTCATGTCGCCACACCTCTGCACCAAACCCTTCTAGTTCCTTCTCTCCTCTCTGACCTCAGTGTTATATTTCCACGCTCTGAGTTTAAAGCAGTCTTCTTCTTTTTCTTATCTGTATATCAGACAGAAGCTGCTCTCACCTCAGTGCTCTGCATTCATTGTTATTGTTACACTTACCTCAGCACAACCCTGTCTCCTAAAAATTACGTTCCCACAGAACTAAACTGCATTCTGAATTACGTTTAGCTTGAAACGTATTTACTCCCACGTTACGTTCGTTATGAACGTATCTAAAATACGTTTATTTTCTACATATCTTCTAGAAACATATTTTCTCCCACGTTACGTTCGTTATGAACGTATCTTAAATACGTTTATTTTCTACATATCTTTGCTATTTATTGTCTTGCTTATAATAATGATAATAGTCATTTATAAATATCATTTTAGAGCACACCTTTGAAATCGAGAATCAGGCTCGATATATGGTTAAATTAAAATCAGTAGGCGAGGCTGTAATTTCGCCAGCTGTTACTCTGATGAGCGAGGCAGAACATAATAGTTTTAACATGACAAAAAGCTGCTGTGTCGTTTACCTCAAACATTAAAACAAATCCAGAGTTACGTGTTTCTGTACTTCCTCTAAGAAGAAAAGACAGTAAAAGAAGAGCTCTGTGGCTTCAGGCTTGATCGCCGTTCAAATGACAGCGTTGGTTTCCCCAAAAGTGGGCGGGGCTGTAAAGTGACGTTTTACTATCATCTATTATTCAAAACTATTCTATTTATTCTAACGTAAATTACATGCCAGTGTTTTATCTTTTTATTTATTTGTTTTTATTTTAAATCGTATAATGTCGGACTTTTTTCCCGTCTGTGAGGAAAATAAATGGCTTAGAGCCTCAAAATACTGAAATCTGTATTTTTTAAAATCTTTTCCTTCTAATTTGTTATTCTTTTCTAAATAACACACTGTTATTTACTCAACAATAACACACAATTATCCTTGTTTTTATTTATTTGTTTAATTCTATAATCTTGGGCTTTTTAGCCGTAAATAAAGTCACCAGAAACAGACGGACATTTCGAGATTTAGGATGGCCGAAGACACTACACTACCCATAATCCCCAGCTATCGTTTGGGACTACAGTCCCGTTGACAAACCCCGTGATGTTGGAGTGGCAGTGCGCCAAGGTTACGCCGAGCGTCAAGCTCTTTGAAATGGAACGAAACCACGGCAGACTATTCAAAACTGGACTCGAACGCCCCCCGAGAAATACACATGCTGGCTATTGTGTTTCGCAACATGTTCTCTATGGCACGTATCTACTGGGAATTGTAGTTTTAAAAGACGTTTTTCCCAAAATTAGAAGTTGCCAGTATTAAACTGTGTACAGCCCTGGAGGTTTAGGCGATAGGAAACACATTGGTGTGTACACATTTAAAACATGTAATTACTAAATGGGTAAAAATCGCTTATATCCATAATGGGCAGCATTAATATATACCCACACGACAGCTTACTTTGTAATTCTACTCCACTACAATTCAGAGGTTAACCTGGTATTTTTACTCCACTACATTTAGTTTAGTTACTTTGCAGATTCTGATTAATGATGTGAAATATAAACAACCCTTAAAGCAGACTTTAGTTACACCTGAGTGAAATTCAGGGAAGGTGATTGTCAAGTGCCAACAATCAGGAGAGATATTTGATAGGTGGTGCTTGAGAAGACGAAACATTTATCTGCAGATCTCTATAAAGTATATTCATTACTCGTTATTATCTACTAATAGTTAATTAAAAACTGTATAATGGCTCTTTTGCACATCCCTTTCAAGATTTCAAGATTTTCTAAGGTTTATTGATCATATACACAACTTGGGTCGCAGGTTCCTCAACAGCGCATTACAAGACATCTATCAATATGTGTGTACCTCCACCATTAAACTGTCATATTCTGCACATTTCTTATTCTATCTACATACATAAGAGTATAATCAATGTGTATAATATCAGTTAAAATAAGTGCTTCAACATAGTTAACATTGCAGGAAAGCAATATATTAGACGTTAAGTACTTTGTCAGGCTTAATATTTATCGGTAGATAGATACCCCCAAAGCTTTTTTCTTGTTTAAAATAAGACCTTAACCTAAAGTATTCTTTAATGTGTTAATAAAGGTTAATTAGTTTTTCTGTTTTGCACCTCCTCCTATTAATATCTTTGTACATCCGGCACTAAACTGTTTTATTGTAGAGATCACTTATAGTATCTTCTTGACTTTATATATTCTATATTTCTATCATTGACCTTCTACTTTCCCCCTATGAAAGTATGTACTCTTAATATTGTTTTCATCAAATAACATTATTCAACAAAAATAATTCAATAACGTGCTTTAACCACTAGGCGGTGCACACAAGGTACACACAGCATACTAATAATAACTTTGTATTATTAGTGTAGAACACTTATGTATGTATAACATCTGAAGATGTGTAGTTTTATTCATGTTTTTACATACTTTTACAGGATATTGCTATATTATTTCACATGTTTTACTTCTACACATTAATATCTGATTTGTAAAACATCACAGACAGAAAGGTATATCCGTCATTTAATGGTACGCTATTGAAATTCTGAATCCATAGATGTGTCTCCCATCACCCAAATCCCCTGACTATTCTCTCAACTCAGTATTTACATTCTTATATTCAAAGAAAATCAGTAATATCTTTAAAAACTACAAGTCCTTTTCTATCAGCTGTGCACCGTTATGGTGTAAATATAACCTATTATCTACCAATTGGATCAAATATAAAAGTCAGCCGAATTACTATTGATACTGCAAGGAGACGTATTTTGTGAAAAGAAATTGAAGATGTTGTTTAATTGTTGATATATTTATGATCCACATCAAGTATTCAGTTTTGGCGGCAGTTCCTCATGTTTGTCTAGAAGTCTTCTCATCAGGGCTCTATAAATAAAGAACTACGGCAGATGTATAATATTTAATGCAGCCGAACCGTGTATTACAATGCCGTTATGTGATGACTTCCAAAGAGAAAAGCAAGAACACTCTGAATTAGGTATTATTTTATTTTTCGTTTTCGGATATCACAACTTATTAACACCATATCCCAGCGTGCATTGCGGCTAAAACATCCAATCAACGAGCTTCAAGCTGAGGATGTTGGGTAATCAGTTCGGTGGGTTTGTGGTGTGTATCCCATGTGTGTATCGCTCAAAATGTCCCGTCTGTTTCCGGTGACTTTATTTACGGCTAAAAAGCCCAAGATTATAGAATTAAACGAATAAATAAAAACAAGGATAATTGTGTGTTATGGTTGAGTAAATAACAGTGTGTTATTTAGAAAATAATAACAAATTAGAAGGAAAAGATTTTAAAAAATACAGATTTCAGTATTTTGAGGCTCTAAGCCATTTATTTTCCTCACAGACGGGAAAAAAGTCCGACATTATACGATTTAAAATAAAAACAAATAAATAAAAAGATAAAACACTGGCATGTAATTTACGTTAGAATAAATAGAATGGTTTTGAATAATAGATGATAGTAAAACGTCACTTTACAGCCCCGCCCACTTTTGGGGAAACCAACGCTGTCATTTGAACGGCGATCAAGCCTGAAGCCACAGAGATCTTCTTTTACTGTCTTTTCTTCTTAGAGGAAGTACAGAAACAAGTAACTCTGGATTTGTTTTAATGTTTGAGGTGCAATAAACGACACAGCAGCTTTTTGTCATGTTAAAACTATTATGTTCTGCCTCGCTCATGAGAGTAACAGCTGCCGAAATTACAGCCTCGCCTACTGATTTTAATTCAACCATATATCGAGCCCGATTCTCGATTTCAAATGTGTGCTCTAAAATGATATTTGTAAATGACTATTATCATTATTATAAGCAAGGCAATAAATGGCAAAGATATGTAGAAAATAAACGTATTTAAGATACGTTCATAACGAACGTAACGTGGGAGAAAATACGTTTCTAGAAGATATGTAGAAAATAAACGTATTTAAGATACGTTCATAACAAACGTAACGTGGGAGAAAATACGTTTCTAGCTAAACGTAATTGAGAATGCAGTTTAGTTCTGTGGGAACGTAATTCAGAGACAGGGTTGCTCAGCAGCAACCTGACCACAGAGCGAACAGAGAGGGAACTGGACAAGATAATCGCACACTATTCTAATTAATATGATCCCTAATCATTCACTGTTAATGTATATTAAGATATCTTCCAATCCTCGACAGCACTGACGTTGAAAAACTGAGTTTAGAGTTTGTTTTTGGACCTGGTATAATTTGGATATAACGCTAAAATACGTCAAATTATAATTGCATCAGGTATGAAGTGCCTAAGAAGGAGTTGAGATGTGAATTTAATGTGCTCTTCTGCTCTTTCCCAGAAAAGTGTGTAACAGCTTTTTGTAAGCAATTTGATAATACTTTGTTTATTAAATTGACCAACTTGGAAAAACATAAAAGTAGGACATATTCTCTTTACAATGATAAATATGATAAAC